CCTCCCTCGCCTCTCCGCATCTAGCATCACTCGCCCTCAGGAGCGGCATCTGCCTTGGAGAGACGGCAGCCTCAACGACGGCGCGGTCGCCGTCCGCCACGTCCGCCAGCTGCTCGAGCAGCCAGTCCGCAGAGGCCGCCTCGAGCAGATCGCTCTGATCTCCCGCGTCGTCTCTCTGCTCGCTTGAGTCGCCCTCAGCTCCGCTGTGGCTGCCGCCGCTCTCGGCGCGTTGGGCGCACAGGGCGTGCCCGTTGGTGGCCGCGGCCAGAGCCGCCGCGCCGCTGCCCGCCTGAGGCCGCGGCGGCGCCGCCTTGCTCGCTGGCGGGAGCGTGAGCACACGAGCTGTAGCGGGAGCTGCAGCGGCACCCGAGCGCGCGCGCGCCTCCTCCTGCTCTCTGATGAGATCCGCCTCGGCCGCCTCGCGCGCGACGCGCAGCGCCTCGCGTTTATCCGCATCGGCCGCCTCCCCGCCGGCTCGGCGTGACTGCCCAGTCGCGGGCTGGTCCCCAGCTGCAGCCGCCCGCTCGGCCTCTCGCCTCTCCTCGGCTGCAGCCTGCTTCGCTCGCAGTTTGTTGGCGTGGTCCTCTGCGTCCTTGAGCGTGGACGAGCCGCCGGCGTGCGCCTTTGCTCTCGCCGCCGCGCGGGCTCGGTCGATGTCGCGCTGGTTGCCTCGCGTCATGTACACAGTCTGCCCGACCAAGTCTCCGTGCGAGAGTTGGGGTGGTTCGGTGTTACTCGTATTCGAGAAGGACGACGAAAAAAGAAAAACGCCGATGAGCCATCGGCGTTGTGCAGCAGCTCGAGCGCAGCACGCAGCAGGTCACTAAAGAGAAAGGCGGAGACGGCACACTCGATGAGCCGAACAGCCGCGGCTTGCTGCCGCTGCGCCTCGCCCGTGTGCTGCCGCCCGCTGCCAGGTGACAGCTCAGCCTGCAGCAGCGGCAGCATGCCGGCTAGCGGGGCACTTGCGAAGCGCTCCTGCATGCGCTCCACCATTCTCTTGCCAACCGCCTCGAGGAGGACGCATTCGGCGGAGGCGGCGTCTGCCGCGCTGCTGGAGGCGCGCGTGCACTGCGCTTGCCACTGCGAAGGCATCGGCGAGCTGTTCGAGCTGTGCGGCGCTCGCGAGCTCATGGCTGCGGCCGTGCAGGGAGCCGGCGGTCGAAAGGGCGCCGAAAAGGTAGCCATAGCGCACAGAGGCCAGCCAGACGCCCTTGGTTCGTAGCATGTCTAGTAGGCCTGCCACGCACGCAGAGTCGACGTCGCTCGGAATCGGGTGGCCCAGAAGGCGGACGAGGAGGAGCTGCAGGTCCGCGATGGCATAAAGGTACTTGTTGCCGTGGATGGTGAAGGCGTCGCAGTCGCCGTTGTGCGTGATGAAGCTCTCGACGCTGCGGCGCTCGCAAACAAAGCGGTATGCTGTGTTTGTTGCGAGCCTCCACGCCATCTGCTTTGATCGCGGTAGCCACTGATGCGGGTGGCAGCCAGCGATGTTGCAGACGGAAGACGTTGCGAAGCGGGTGTGGCCCTGAAACAGACCGCAGGTCATGTCGGCGTAGCACAGCGAAAATCTTTTGAACAGCACGTCCTCGAGGTCACGACTCTGCAGCGCAAGCCCACGCCGGAGCGATCGTACGTCGCTATCCCAGCCGACTGCGCCCCGCGTATCATGGTGATGCGTAGCATCTTGCGCAGCAGGCGAAGCGTCGCGCGGCGATGCGCGGGGAGGAGGAGCAGGAGGCCAAAGTTTCCGCACATGGAGTTGAGGGGAGGCCGCGGGGGGTAGGGGCGGAAGGGGCTCAAAATCGACGAGACGAGACCGAAATCGTGACGAGGCCGATATAACACGGGACCCCCCCCACACACACACACAAAGAGGAGGCGGCGGAGGCGTTCAGTCTAAGGCGTGGTGCTTATGAGTTATGTCTCGAGAGTTGCCAGTATGGAGCAGCAAACAACCCGCTATCTCTGGAAATCTGGTCGTTTTCCGCGCGGTGAAACAACAAACATGGGTACATAAAGGCCGTACAGGACCTATAAGAGTCGGGGGCCGCCCACACACGCGCCTTGCCCAACAAGCTGGCCGTGTGCAGGAGTCGGGGCGAGCCAGGGCCGGAGAGGAGCTAGGTCCCTGGAGAGTCTCTGTCCGGGCCCCGGTGCAGCGGTCAGTAGTCCCCGCCCTCGTCGAAGCCGTCGTCTGCGTCTCCCCCGCCGTACTCCCACTCGTCCGGCTCTGGCCGCAGCGCCTGCGTGGCGCATGGCGGGCGGTGGGGAGCGAGGCGTGTGTGGCCGCCTGCCCCCGGGCTGCTCCCCTCGCGCCTCTGGCGGCTGCACCTCCTCCTCCGCCTCCTCCTCCGCCTCTGCCGTCGGCCGCCGCAACAGGCCCGCAGAGAGCAGCATCGGACGCCGCGCGGGCGCGGGCGCGGGCGCGCGGGCGGCAGCCGGCGCGGGGGCGGGCGCTGCCGCAGCCGCCGGCGCTGCCGCCGGCGCGGGCGCTGCCGCCGCCGCCGGCGCTGCCGCCGCCGCCGCCGGCGGCGGGGTGGCGCGGCGGGGAGCGGGCGCCCTCGGTCCCGGCGGGATCCGCGGCTGTGCTCGCGGCCTTGCTGGCGCTGCCGCCGCCGTCTGCGCTGCGGCTGCCGGCGCTAGTCTGGATGCGGCGGGCGCGGCGGCAGCCGGCGCGGCGGCGACGGGCGCGGCGGCGGCGGGTGCGGCGGCGGCCGGAGGCGCGCCGGCGGGTGCGAGGGCGATAGTGCGATGCGATCCAGGGGGCGGGAGTGCGGCGGCTGCCGCCCTGCCGCGCCCTCTTGCTCCCCTTCCGGTGGACGCCGCCCTCGGGCCGAACAAAGAGGCCGGCAGCGGCGG